AATGGATGGCAGCGGCTCAGGATTTGATGGTGAATGGATGGCAGCGGCTCAGGATTTAATGGTGAATGGATGGCAGCGGCTCAGGATTTGATGGTGAATGGATGGCAGCGGCTCAGGATTTGATGGTGAATGGATGGCAGCGGCTCAGGAATTGATGGTGAATGGATGGCAGCGGCTCAGGAATTGATGGTGAATGGATGGCAGCGGCTCAGGAATTGATGGTGAATGGATGGCAGCGGCTCAGGATTTGATGGTGAATGGATGGCAGCGGCTCAGGATTTAATGGTGAATGCATGGCAGCGGCTCAGGAATTGATGGTGAATGGATGGCAGCGGCTCAGGAATTGATGGTGAATGGATGGCAGCGGCTCAGGATTTGATGGTGAATGGATGGCAGCGGCTCAGGATTTGATGGTGAATGGATGGCAGCGGCTCAGGATTTGATGGTGAATGGATGGCAGCGGCTCAGGATTTGATGGTGAATGCATGGCAGCGGCTCAGGATTTGATGGTGAATGGATGGCAGCGGCTCAGGATTTGATGGTGAATGGATGGCAGCGGCTCAGGATTTGATGGTGAATGGGTTGCAGCAGCTCATCTTCCCCATGCCTTCCATTCAGCAGATCCCGCACTCCAGAACATTTCGGAGGGCCCATTCACTGCATTGTGGCCCCGAGGAGACAATATATTTTTATGTCTGTATATAACAATCTGCCTAATTATAAGCATTAAAAAAAATCTTAGAAAGCGTAGAAAAGGAGAATTCATGTTTGTGATTCCGATGGAGCGGAATTACGGCTCAGCATATGCCGCGGTCCCAATCGCGCCGCCTGCGTTTTGTTTTATGACATAATCCCCTCAAGAAATAAGATTTAAAAATCAATAAAGTGCAATTGGATTTATGAGATCATCTGACTTTCCCCCGAGACGTGTAAGTCGGCGTAATGTGACTTCCATGGTAAAGAGCCGGCGAGGAGCGCGAGGATTCCACGCCACATGATGTGTTCATCATTAGAAGGCGGCAGATTTATGGCGCTCCTCGCCGCCGTGATGGATGGCGCTTCACGTTTACACAAACAAAAACTGTTTATTTAGACATTACAAAGGATCTCCCCGTCCATCTGTCTTCCCTCTCCTCTGCTTGGCAGACTTCACCGCAAAACGCAGAGCAACGCGCTTCGACTGGAGGCCAAGATGTCCGCGCCACGCGCCGCGCTCCGCCATCTCCAATGTACAACTCAACCACAAGAGGAATACTTCAGAAAATCTCCAAAATGTTCTTCTTCCAGAAGATGGTATATAGAGGAGACATAGAACCAGACAGGGGAGGGTATACACAGAGTATACAGGGGAGGGTATATACAGAGTATACAGGGGATATACAGAGGAGGGTATATACAGGGTATACAGGGGAGGGTATATACAGGGGAGGGTATATACAGAGTATACAGGGGAGGGTATATACAGAGTATACAGGGGAGGGTATATACAGAGGAGGGTATATACAGGGTATACAGGGGAGGGTATATACAGAGGAGGGTATATACAGGGTATACAGGGGAGGGTATATACAGAGTATACAGGGGAGGGTATATACAGAGGTATATACAGGGTATACAGGGGAGGGTATATACAGGGGAGGGTATATACAGAGTATACAGGGGAGGGTATATACAGTATATACAGGGGAGGGTATATACAGAGGAGGGTATATACAGGGTATACAGGGGAGGGTATATACAGGGTATACAGGGGAGGGTATATACAGGGTATACAGGGGAGGGTATATACAGAGTATACAGGGGAGGGTATATACAGGGTATACAGGGGGGGTATATACAGAGTATACAGGGGAGGGTATATACAGGGTATACAGGGGAGGGTATATACAGGTATACAGGGGAGGGTATATACAGAGTATACAGGGGAGGGTATATACAGAGGAGGGTATATACAGGGTATACAGGGGAGGGTATAATACAGGGTATACAGGGGAGGGTATATACAGGTATACAGGGGAGGGTATATACAGAGTATACAGGGGAGGGTATATACAGGGTATACAGGGGGGTATATACAGAGTATACAGGGTATATACAGAGTAAACAGGGGAGGGTATATACAGAGTATACAGGGGAGGGTATATACAGAGTATACAGGGGAGGGTATATACAGAGTATACAGGGGAGGGTATATACAGAGTATACAGGGGAGGGTATATACACAGAGTATACAGGGGAGGGTATATACAGAGTATACAGGGGAGGGTATATACACAGTATACAGGGGAGGGTATATACACAGTATACAGGGGGAGGGTATATACACAGTATACAGGGGAGGGTATATACACAGTATACAGGGGAGGGTATATACACAGTATACAGGGGAGGGTATATACAGAGTATACAGGGAGGGTATACACAGAGTATACAGGGGAGGGTATACACAGAGTATACAGCTAGGGTATATACAGGGGAGGGTATATACAGGTATACAGGGGAGGGTATATACAGAGGTAAAACAGGGAGGGTATATACAGAGTATACAGGGGAGGGTATATACAGAGTATACAGGGGAGGGTATATACAAGGGTATACAGGGGAGGGTATATACAGGGTATACAGGGGAGGGTAATATACAGGGTATACAGGGGAGGGTATATACAGAGGAGTGTATATACAGGGTATACAGGGGAGGGTATATACAGGGTATACAGGGGAGGGTATACATACAGGGGGAGGGGTATATACAGGGTATACAGGGAGGGTATATACAGGGGAGGGTATATACAGAGGAGTGTATATACAGGGTATACAGGGGAGGGTATATACAGGTATACAGAGGAGTGTATATACAGGTATACAGGGGAGGGTATACACAGAGTATACAGGGGAGGGTATATACAGAGTATACAGGGGAGGGTATACACAGAGTATACAGGGGAGGGTATATACAGGGTATACAGGGGAGGGTATATACAGATTATACAGGGGAGGGTATATACAGATTAAACAGGGGGGGTAATATACAGAGTATACAGGGGAGGGTATACACAGGGTATACAGAGGAGGGGTATATACAGAGTATACAGGGGAGGGTATATACAGAGTATACAGGGGAGGGTATACACAGAGTATACAGGGGAGGGTATACACAGAGTATACAGGGAGGGTATATACAGAGATACAGGGAGGGTATATACAGGGGAGGGTATATACAGTCTATGGAGAGGTAGTATACAGGGGAGGGTATATACAGAGTATACAGGGGAGGGTATACACAGAGTATACAGGGGAGGGTATATACAGAGTATACAGGGGAGGGTATACACAGAGTAATACAGGGGAGGGGTATATACAGTCTATAGAGGAGGTAGTATACAGGGGACGGTATATACAGTCTATAGAGGAGGTAGTATATACAGGGAGGGTAATATACAGAGTATACAGGGGAGGGTATATACAGTCTACAGGGGAGGGTATATACAGAGTATACGGGGGAGGGTATATACAGATATATACAGGGAGGGTATACACAGAGTATACAGGGGAGGGTATACACAGAGTATACAGGGGAGGGTATACACAGAGTATACAGGGGAGGGTATATACAGAGTATACAGGGGAGGGTATATACAGGGGACGGTATATACAGTCAATGGAGGAGGTAGTATACAGGGGAGGGTATATACAGAGTATACAGGGGGACGGTATATACAGAGTAATACAGGGGAGGGTATATACAGAGTATACAGGGGAGGGTATATACAGAGTATAAGGGGGAGGGTATATACAGAGTATACAGGGGAGGGTATATACAGAGTATACAGGGGAGGGTATACACAGAGTATACAGGGGAGGGTATACACAGAGTATACAGGGGAGGGTATATCCCAGAGTATAGAGGAGGTATGTATACAGGGGAGGGTATATACAGAGTATACAGGGGGAGGGTATATACAGAGTAAGGGACATACAGGGAGGGTATATACAGAGTATACAGGGGAGGGTATACACAGAGTATACAGGGGAGGGTACATACAGAGTATACCAGGGATATACAGAGTATACAGGGGAGGGTATATACAGAGTATACAGGGGAGGGTATATACAGAGTATACAGGGGAGGGTATATACAGATGTAACAGGGGAGGGTATCCAGAGTATACACCAATGTAAGGGACAGTCTTCCCACTAGTACCCAGGGGATGAGAAGGGACTAAAGGAATCAGAAAGTCCTCTATCCCCATGGAGCAGTAACAGTCTCCACAGAGCAGAAGTGGCTCCCGGACATTCGGGTCCCCACTGATCCCTCCCGAACATGTAAGGACACGGGTTCGCCGAGAGCCCAGCACTTAGGGACAAATCAGTCCCACTGTGACCCCCAATGTAAAAGGAACATTCAGGAGAGGAATCCCACTGGTCCCTACTTCTCAGTCCAAGAGTATTCTTCCCAAACCCACCATTCTCTACAGGTTCCTCCAGAGGTCCTGGGATCAATGACACTTCATGGAGTCAACTACATAACACCAATCATCATCTCAGCTGTCTGTAAGGGAGGCACTGACCCCAATGTAAGGGGCATTCTTCCCACTGACCCCCAAATGTAAGGGACATTCTTCCCACTGACCCCCAATGTAAGGGACATTCTTCCCACTGACCCCCAATGTAAGGGACATTCTTCCCACTGACCCCCAATGTAAGGGACATTCTTCCCACTGACCCCCAATGTAAGGGACATTCTTCTTACTGACCCCAATGTAAGGGACATTCTTCCCACTGACCCCCAATGTAAGGGACATTCTTCCCACTGACCCCCAATGTAAGGGACATTCTTCCCACTGACCCCCAATGTAAGGGACATTCTTCCCACTGACCCCCAATGTAAGGGACATTCTTCCCACTGACCCCCAATGAACCCCCCAATGTAAGGGACAATGTAAGGGACATTCTTCCCACTGACCCCCAATGTAAGGGACATTCTTCCCACTGACCCCCAATGTAAGGGGCACATTCTTCCCACTGACCCCCAATGTAAGGGACATTCTTCCCACTGACCCCCAATGTAAGGGACATTCTTCCCACTGACCCCCAATGTAAGGGACATTCTTCCCACTGACCCCCAATGTAAGGGACATTCTTCCCACTGACCCCCCAATGTAAGGGACATTCTTCCCACTGACCCCCCAATGTAAGGGACATTCTTCCCACTGACCCCCAATGTAAGGGACATTCTTCCCACTGACCCCCAATGTAAGGGACATTCTTCCCACTGACCCCCCAATGTAAGGGACATTCTTCCCACTGACCCCCAATGTAAGGGACATTCTTCCCACTGACCCCCAATGTAAGGGACATTCTTCCCACTGACCCCATTCTTCCCAATGTAAGGGACATTCTTCCCACTGACCCCCAATGTAAGGGACATTTCTTCCCACTGACCCCCAATGTAAGGTACATTCTTCCCACTGACCCCCAATGTAAGGGACATTCTTCCCCCTGATCACCAATGTAAGGGACATTCTTCCCACTGACCCCCAATGTAAGGGACATTCTTCCCACTGACCCCCAATGTAAGGGACATTCTTCCCACTGACCCCCAATGTAAGGGACATTCTTCCCACTGACCCCCAATGTAAGGTACATTCTTCCCACTGACCCCCAATGTAAGGGACATTCTTCCCCTGATCACCAATGTAAGGGACATTCTTCCCACTGACCCCCAATGTAAGGGACATTCTTCCCACTGACCCCCAATGTAAGGGACATTCTTCCCACTGACCCCCAATGTAAGGGACATTCTTCCCACTGACCCCCAATGTAAGGGACATTCTTCCCACTGACCCCCAATGTAAGGGACATTCTTCCCACTGACCCCCAATGTAAGGGACATTCTTCCCACTGACCCCCAATGTAAGGGACATTCTTCCCACTGACCACCAATGTAAGGGACATTCTTCCCACTGACCCCCAATGTAAGGGACATTCTTCCCACTGACCCCCAATGTAAGGGACGTTCTTCCCACTGACCCCCCAATGTAAGGGACATTCTTCCCACTGACCACCAATGTAAGGGACATTCTTCCCACTGACCCCCAATGTAAGGGACATTCTTCCCACTGACCCCCAATGTAAGGGACATTCTTCCCACTGACCCCCAATGTAAGGGACATTCTTCCCACTGACCCCCAATGTAACCCATACATTGATATAGTCAAGCAGTCACAGGCATTTATCAAAAAAACAAGCCTACAGCTCTGTCCCGCAACTCCCTGCACACAGCTGGTCCTCACTATCAGACTCTCCTCCCACCAGTCGCCTCCATATACAACTTCCACCAACCTTTACCTCCAACACAGGAGACCCGACCGATCTCCCCGGATGCAGAGTGCTGATCATGTCTCCCAGGTGAGTCTAAATTACCTGCAGAGGGGAGGAGCAAATCCTGGAGTGAGCAGAGGATGAGAAGTCTGGACAGGTATGAGATGAGCCCAGGAGATGTACAAACCCCGGACAGGACTTTTCCAGACTCTCTGATAGACCCTCTGCGAGCATAGTAATATATACTATATTGCCCGCGGTATTAGGCCGCCACCCTTCCCACACACATGACCTGTAATAGCCCCCCAGTCTTAGTCCGTAGGGTTCAATATTGAGTTGGCCCCGCCCTTTCCAAACACATGACCTTTAATAGCCCCCCAGTCTTAGTCCGTAGGGTTCAATATTGAGTTGGCCCCGCCCTTTCCACACACATGACCTTTAATGGCCTCCCAGTCTTAGTCCATAGGGTTCAATATTGAGTTGGCCCCGCCCTTTCCACGCACATGACCTTTAATGACCCCCCAGTCTTAGTCCGTAGGGTTCAATATTGAGTTGGCCCCGCCCTTTCCACGCACATGACCTTTAATGGCCTCCCATTCTTAGTCTGTAGGGTTCAATATTGAGTTGGCCCCGCCCTTTCCACACACATGACCTTTAATGGCGCCCCCAGTCTTAGTCCGTAGGGTTCAATATTGAGTTGGCCCCGCCCTTTGCAGCTATTACAGCTTCAACTCTTCTGGGAAGGCCGTCCACAAGGTTTAGGAGGGTGTCTATGGGAAGGTTGGACCATTCTTCCAGAAGCACATTTGTCAGGTCAGGCACTGATGTCGGGGGAGGGGCACTGATGTCGGGGGAGGGGGCCTGGCTCGCAGTCTCGCAGTCCGCTCTAATTCATCCCAAAGGTGTTCTATGGGGTTGAGGTCAGGACTCTGTGCAGGACAGTCAAGTTCCTCCACCCCAAACTGGCTCCTCCATGTCTTTATGGACCTTGCTTTGTGCACTGGTGGGCAGTCATGTTGGAACAGGAAGGGGCCATCCCCAAACTCCTCCCACAAAGTTGGGGGCATGAAATTGTCCAAAATGTTGCCTTAAGAGTTCCCTTCCCTGGAACTAGGGGGCCAACACAACCCCTGAAAAACACCCCCCACCATAATCCCCCCTCCTCCACCAAACTGTACACTTGGCACAATGCAGTCAGGTAAGTATTGTTCTCCTGGCCACCACCAAACCCAGACACGTCCATTGGATTGCCAGACAAAGAAGCATGATTGGTCCCTCCAGAGAACACGTCTCCACTGCTCTAGAGTCCAGTGGCAGCGTGCTTTACACCACGGCATCCGACGCTTTGCATTGCACTTGGTGGTGGAAGGTTTGGATGCAGCTGCTCTAGAGTCCAGTGGCGGCATGCTTTACACCACGGCATCCGACGCTTTGCATTGCACTTGGTGGTGGAAGGTTTGGATGCAGCTGCTCTAGAGTCCAGTGGCGGCGTGCTTTACACCACGGCATCCGACGCTTTGCATTGCACTTGGTGATGGAAGGCTTGGATGCAGCTGCTCGGCCATGGAAACCCATTCCATGAAGCTCTCTACGCACTGTTGTTGGGCTCATCTGAAGGCCACACCAAGTTTGGAGATCTTTAGCTATTGACTCTGCAGACAGTTGGTGACTTCTGCACACTGTGCGCTTCAGCATGCGCTGACCCCGCCCTGTCATGTGACGTGGCCTACCACTTGGTGGCTGAGTGGCTGTTGTTCCCAGTGTCTTCCACTTTGTTATAATCCCACTAACAGTTGAGCGTGGAATATTTTAGTAGCCAGGAAATGTCACGGATGGACTTATTGCCCAGGTGGCCCACCTATCACGGGACCACGCTTGGAGTCACTGAGCTCCTGAGAGCGACCCATTCTTTCACCAATGTTTGTAGAAGCGTCTGCATGCCTAGGGGATGGATTGTATACACCTGTGTCCATGGGGGGATTGGAACACCTGAATCACATGATATGGAGGGGATTGGAACACCTGAATCACATGATATGGAGGAGATTGGAACACATGAATCACATGATGTGGAGGGGATTGGAACACCTGAATCACATGATGTGGAGGGGATTGGAACACCTGAATCACATGATTGGGAGGGGATTGGAATACCTGAATCACATGATATGGAGGGGATTGGAACACCTGAATCACATGATTGGGAGGGGATTGGAACACCTAAATCACATGATTGGGAGGGGATTGGAACACCTGAATCACATGATGTGGAGGGGATTGGAACACCTGAATCACATGATATGGAGGGGATTGGAACACCTGAATCACATGATATGGAGGAGATTGGAACACATGAATCACATGATGTGGAGGGGATTGGAACACACCTGAATCACATGATTGGGAGGGGATTGGAATACCTGAATCACATGATATGGAGGGGATTGGAACACCTGAATCACATGATTGGGAGGGGATTGGAACACCTAAATCACATGATTGGGAGGGGATTGGAACACCTGAATCACATGATGTGGAGGGGATTGGAACACCTGAATCACATGATATGGAGGGGATTGGAACACCTGAATCACATGATATGGAGGGGATTGGAACACCTGAATCACATGATTGGGAGGGGATTGGAACACCTGAATCACATGATTGGGAGGGGATTGGAACACCTGAATCACATGATGTGGAGGGGATTGGAACACCTGAATCACATGATATGGAGGGGATTGGAACACCTGAATCACATGATATGGAGGGGATTGGAACACCTGAATCACATGATATGGAGGAGATTGGAACACCTGAATCACATGATATGGAGGGGATTGGAACACCTGAATCACATGATATGGAGGAGATTGGAACACATGAATCACATGATGTGGAGGGGATTGGAACACCTGAATCACATGATTGGGAGGGGATTGGAACACCTGAATCACATGATATGGAGGGGATTGGAACACCTGAATCACATGATTGGGAGGGAGGGAATTGGAACACCTGAAATCACATGATTGGGAGGGAGGGGATTGGAACACCTGAATCACATGATGTGGAGGGGATTGGAACACCTGAATCACATGATATGGAGGGGATTGGAACACCTGAATCACATGATTGGAGGGGATTGGAACACCTGAATCACATGATATCGAAGGGATTGGAACACCTGAATCACATGATTGGGAGGGGATTGGAACACCTGAATCACATGATTGGAAGGGGATTGGAACACCTGAATCACATGATGTGGAGGGGATTGGAACACCTGAATCACATGATATGGAGGGGATTGGAACACCTGAATCACATGATATGGAAGGGATTGGAACACCTGAATCACATGATATGGAGGAGATTGGAACACCTGAATCACATGATATGGAGGGGATTGGAACACCTGAATCACATGATATGTAGGGGATTGGAACACCTGAATCACATGATTGGGAGGGGATTGGAACAGCTGAATCACATGATTGGGAGGGATTGGGACACCTGAATCACATGATATGGAGGGGATTGGAACACCTGAATCACATGATTGGAGGGGATTGGAACACCTGAATCACATGATATGGGAGGGGATAGGAACACCTGAATCATATGATTGGAGGGGATTGGAACACCTGAATCACATGATATGGAGGGGATTGGAACACCTGAATCACATGATATGGAGGGGATTGGAACACCTGAATCACATGATATGGAGGGGATTGGAACACCTGAATCACATGATGATATTGGAACACCTGAATCACATGATATGGAGGATTGGAACACCTGAATCACATGATATGGAGGGGATTGGAACACCTGAATCACATGATATGGAGGGGATTGGAACACCTGAATCACATGATTGGGAGGGGATTGGAACACCTGAATCACATGATTGGGAGGGGATTGGGACACCTGAATCACATGATATGGAGGGGATTGGAACACCTGAATCACATGATATGGAGGAGATTGGAACACATGAATCACATGATGTGGGGGGGATTGGAACACCTGAATCACATGATTGGGAGGGGATTGGAATACCTGAATCACATGATATGGAGGGGATTGGAACACCTGAATCACATATTGGGAGGGGATTGGAACACCTAAATCACATGATTGGGAGGGGATTGGAACACCTGAATCACATGATATGGAGGGGATTGGAACACCTGAATCACATGATATGGAGGGGATTGGAACACCTGAATCACATGATATGGAAGGGATTGGAAACACCTGAATCACATGATATGGAGGAGATTGGAACACCTGAATCACATGATATGGAGGGATTGGAACACCTGAATCACATGATTGGGAGGGATTGGAACACCTGAATCACATGATATGGAGGGGATTGGAACACCTGAATCACATGATATGGAGGAGGATTGGAACACCTGAATCACATGATGTGGAGGGGATTGGAACACCTGAATCACATGATATGGAGGGGATTGGAACACCTGAATCACATGATTGGGAGGGGATTGGAACACCTAAATCACATGATTGGGAGGGGATTGGAACACCTGAATCACATGATGTGGAGGGGATTGGAACACCTGAATCACATGATATGGAGGGGATTGGAACACCTGAATCACATGATATGGAAGGGATTGGAACACCTGAATCACATGATATGATATGGAGGAGATTGGAACACCTGAATCACATGATATGGAGGGGATTGGAACACCTGAATCACATGATTGGGAGGGGATTGGAACACCTGAATCACATGATATGGAGGGGATTGGAACACCTGAATCACATGATATGGAGGAGATTGGAACACATGAATCACATGATGTGGAGGGGATTGGAACACCTGAATCACATGATTGGGAGGGATTGGAATACCTGAATCACATGATATGGAGGGGATTGGAACACCTGAATCACATGATATGGGAGGGGATTGGAACACCTGAATCACATGATGGGAGGGGGATTGGAACACCTGAATCACATGATGATGGAGGGGATTGGAACAACCTGAATCACACATGATATGGAGGATGGGATTGGAACACCTGAATCACATGATTGGGAGGGAACCACCTGAATCACATGATTGGAGGGGATTGGAACACCTGAATCACATGATATCGAGCAGAGTCAGGGAACCGGAATCAGCTGAAAGGGCGGATTGTATGGGCTCTGTGTGCGTCCACGTCTACATCTCACCGCCAGACCAGCATCAGGGACCGGAAAAGGAGCGGATTCTGTGGAACACCTGAACCGGCCATGATGTCAGGGATTGGTGTCACTGAAAGGACGGATGATATGGGCTCTGTGTGCGTCCACGTCTACATCTCACACCGAAGGGACCGGAACACCGAGCAGAGTCATGGGACCGGGAACACCTGAATCAGCTGAAAGGAGCGGGGATTGGGGCTCTGTGTGCGTCCACGTCTACATCTCACCACCCAGACCGGCCCGAGCAGAGTCAGGGACCTGGTGTCAGCTGAAAGGAGGGGATTCTGGACACGTGAATCTCACCCCATGATAGCAGAGTCAGGGACCGGTCCTTGTCAGCTGAATCACATGATTGGCCGGGATTGGCCGACACCTGAAACATGATAGTGGGCTGGGACCGGGATAGGAAGGGACCGGTGTCAGCTGAAATAGCGATTGGGAGGGGTGTGCGTCCACCTACATCTCACCGCCAGACCGGCCGAGCAGAGTCAGGAACCGGTGTCAGCTGAAAGGAGCGGATGTATGGGCTCTGTGTGCGTCCACCGTTCCATACATCAGTGCGGCGTGTCCACCAGACCGGGGGGGGGGCCGAGCAGAGTCAGGGACCGGTGTCAGCTGAAAGGAGCGGATGGGCTCTGTGTGCGTCCACGTCTACATCTCAGTCCGAGCTCCGGCCGAGCAGAGTCAGGGACCCGGTGTCAGCTGAAAGGAGCGGATGGGCTCTGTGTGCGTCCACGTCTACATCTCACCGCCAGACCGCGAGCAGAGTCAGGGACCGTGTCAGCTGAAAGGAGGGGATGGGCTCTGTGTGCGTCCACGTCTACATCTCACCACCAGACCGGCCGAGCAGAGTCAGGGACCGGTGTCAGCTGAAAGGAGCGGATGTATGGGCTCTGTGTGCGTCCACGTCTACATCTCACCGCCAGACCGGCCCGAGCAGAGTCAGGGACCGGTGTCAGCTGAAAGGAGCGGATGTATGGGCTCTGTGTGCGTCCACGTCTACATCTCACCGCCAGACCGGCCGAGCAGAGTCAGGGACCGGTGTCAGCTGAAAGGAGCGGATGGGCTCTGTGTGCGTCCACGTCTACATCTCACCACGCCAGACCGGCCGAGCAGAGTCAGGGACCGGTGTCAGCTGAAAGGAGCGGATGGGCTCTGTGTGCGTCCACGTCTACATCTCACCGCCAGACCGGCCGAGCAGAGTCAGGGACCGGTGTCAGCTGAAAGGAGCGGATGGGCTCTCTGTGTGCGTCCACGTCTACATCTCACCACAAGACAGACCCGGCCCGAGCAGAGTCAGGGACCGGTGTCAGCTGAAAGGAGCGGATGGGCTCTGTGTGCGTCCACGTCTACATCTCACCGCCAGACGGACCGAGCAGAGTCAGGGACCGGTGTCAGACTGAAAGGAGCGGATGAAAGGAGCGGATTGGGCTCTGTGTGCGTCCACGTCTACATCTCACCACCAGACCGGCCGAGCAGAGTCAGGGACCGGTTTGTCAGCTGAAAGGACGCGGATGGGCTCTGTGTGCGTCCACGGTCTACATCTCACCGCCAGACCGGACCGAGCAGAGTCAGGGACCGGTGTCAGCTGAAAGCAGGGGGTGGACTGAATCATGGGGCCCCCGGGCAATAGGGGATCATGGGGCCCCTGTGTCCTTTCCCAAACTCTAAAAAGCCTATTAAAAAGGTACCAGGGGCATCTCATGGGGCCCCCTATTGACCCCGGGCCCTCGGGCAGAGCCTGAGTTTCCAAATGGTCAGTCCGCCCCTGGCTGAAAGGAGCGGATGTATGGGCTCTGTGTGTGTCCACGTCTCACCGCCACGGCTGCGGATTCATCGTCTCCTCAGATATGCAGAGGACAGATTTACATCCCGCTGAGGACCCCCCACATCCAGCGCTGATAGGGGGGGGGGGTCACCCCATCTCATTCCTGATATTTGTAGACTGAATAGAGGTGAAGTGCGGGGATGGGGGAGGATGATGACAGCAACACATCATTCATGGAACATTCACCCCAAATTCATCTGATATGTTTTCTGTAATGACTGTTCTGTACCTGCAGAGTCTCTCCCTCTAGTGGCTGTCTGTATATCAGGCGGTGTGATCAGCATCCTTGCTGAAAGACTGCAAACATGGGATGAGCTGAACACAATTCACACCAAACTTCGGTCAGATACGGGGTTCACATGAACCCCCCAACATTGACCTGTTCAGCAGGAACCAAACCTCATGTATATTAGGGGTATTACTTCCCCCTGTCAATGGTTGCTAGGGACACTGGAGGGTGCGGGCACTGCTGAGTCCTTAGCAACCAGTGACATCACTTACATGGCTGGGAAACCCGAACTATGTAAGCAAAGGGGCGGGGGATAGTTTAGAAAAAAAACAGTGTGGGGGTTCCCCCATAACTCATACTGGACCCCTTCTAACCTGGGACCAATTTTAAGGGGAACCCCACACAAAAATCAAGAAAAAACTAGAAAAGCTCCAATTTCTGGGGAAATTGTGTGAAGCGTTCTTTCCTCCACCAGTCGTCTACAACTGGAGTGGGCGGAGTAAACTGGGGGGTGGCTTGTCACTCTGCTGCTCACACACCTGGGTTCCTATGGCAACTCACTCTACAGCAAGGGCAGAGAAGAGCGGCTAAAAACAAACTGCTCCAACTTGCTCACTTCACTGGCGGTTGCCATCTTCAAACGGTTGTAGTTTTAAAACTATAAATCTGACAGTGAAGAGCTTTATATTGTGAGAATCACAAGACCCGGACCTACATTGTGATGTCATAGTATGTCTCTCTGAAATATTACAAAGGGAGGCGGAGTCACAGTTTAGAAATTGCCCTTCAGATTTGAGGTGGCTAGAGTGGAGTTTCAATGAATGTCAATGGGAGGGGTGAGCTGCAAACAAATGGTCCTATTGTGAGATCTGTCAGGACTGTGGCTCAGCCGTGGACATTGTTAGTGGCAGGAGGGATAGCTGGACGTTTCCATATCAGATTTGTGTCGGTGGGCGGGGCAATGAGGGAGTGACGGCAGTTCAGGAATCGTCCGGATTCTTCAGCTCCCACTCCAGTGTTGAACATTCCACCATTCATTCCTACGGGACCAAATTCACCACAAAAACGCCGATATTTCGTGAACCATTCGGGGAAACGTTCCACAAAGTGATAGCCCACCAATCCGGAACAATCCGCACGTCTCCATATATTACTGTCTATGGAGTGTAAGAACTGTGGGAGGAGTCAGGGGGGATGTGGGAGGAGTCAGTGGATGTGGGAGGAGTCAGGGGGAACGTGGGAGGAGTCAGGGGATGTGGGAGGAGTCAGGGGGTACATTTGGCTGTAATAATCCGAATATATATGTGAGATGACAGGAAGTGGTCGCCATGCAGGAACACGTAATGACGTCTCCCCAAAGGTCCAGGAAAGGGAGACGAGCATGCTCCCCAATCCATAATAGGTCACATGCCATCAACATGGGGGGAGGGGGGATCCTACATCTTTTTGCATTGAGTACCTCTTACTCATTCACATGGGGGGGCAGTATCTGGGCCCCCCCATGAAAGGGGGCTTCCTAATTCTGATGAGCTCCCCTGCCTGCAGACCCCATACCCACTGGGCCAGGGTTGTGTAACATGAGGGCAAGGTGCTTTTAGGGGTGACCCCCTGATACCCCCCATGTTGAGGTTATGTGACCCGGTATGGTTCAGGGGAAAGTGGGGGGGCAAACTTGCCCCCCATTTCTGGCCATGATCTTTGGGTATGGATCTTGTCTGGATTTTTGGGGGGACCTCATTCTTTATTTTTGTGTGGAGTTCCCCCATAAATGCCATACCGGCTCTGGAGGGCCTGATCCGAGTTAGGATGGGGGTCCAACACTATGTTATTTTGTGGGGTTCCCCCATTAATATCTATTTCAGACCCTCATCTGGAACAAGGGAACCCAGAAATAATCCCCATAATGTCTCTGACCCTCAGCGCCATCTAGGGATCAAAATGCTGCATTTACCTGAAATACCTCAATCAGGAAAATACTTCATTGTGGCCACTAGATGGAGCTGAGGGTCATAGGAAATAGTCAGATAATTATCTGACCCTCAGCTCCATCTAGTGGCCAACAATTAT